GCTATTAATTAACACCTTCAAACCGGGAGAATCTTAATTAATCCCAAGCTCATGCTGGGTATCTGTGACACGGTAACTGGTATGACAGCTTGGGTGTTGGTGTAATCTACGACCGATAAAACCATTCGCAGCAATTTTGAAATTAAATACAGACAGTATTACCTATATTGCATTTAATATTTTTTCTGTATTATTAAAATTGTCATAAAACAAAAGATTTTTCAATATAAACTTAAACAGTTAAGTTGCAGTGCATAATGCAAAGTGCAGTGATAAATCTGCGTATAAATAAATAACCTTGACCGCCATTTGCATTGTTAGTTTCGTAAACTGTTCCTTAGTAGTACTTCGTAATGTAATACATGTAAGCCATTAATAGTATTCAAGTATTCAAGTTCACAGTTTAAATACTGATTATTTTTTCAGTGCTCTAAATAAAATTTTGCACTAATTTTCATCAAAAAAAGTTTTTTAAAAATTCGTCTTTTTCTTTTTCTTTTCTTGCGGAGAAGGTTCAACTATAACGCTGATGATACATCCCGTTTGACCACGTAAGCATGGCCTGGAAAATGTAAAATCGCTGTGTATGCAGCAAGGCATGTATATCAAATTGTTTTACAATTATACACGATAAAGAAAACACCAACATTGTTTTTCTTAATATTTATTGCGAATATGCTTGAATCTTTACCGTAATGACTAGGCCTATATGTTTGGCAATATAGGATAGTGTTATGCATGAAGATGGATAAGAAAAAACGGGAAATCAATGAATCGACTTTGGAAGATAACTTCGGATATCTCGAACCCCCGGATATCTCGAAGTCGTGTCCAGGTCCCCTCAACTACGAGATACTGATATTTAACTGTATGACAAAAAATCTAGACATAAATATCACATGCATATGCTTGCACCTTAATCACAGATTAATTTAGCGATATATAGTAATGTTCAGCTTAAAATGGGTAGCCAAAAAGGTTCCAAATGACGCACTTCAGTGCATTCTTTGGATTGATCGATCGAACTTTTTGCCTTCTAAAATCAAAATACAAAATTGTTTTTATGCAAAATATTTAAAATCTTTACTTTTTTGAACATGATTTGACAATTTTTTACCTTTCCTGATCTTTAAGATTAACTAATTTTTTTTTCTGACAGAAAGACGTTACGCATTTCAGTGAAGTAATTCTTAAATTATGATGATTTTGTAAACTGACTCAAGATTTTTTTCTCCTTTTTACCACCTTTTATGTTCTTAGTTTTAGGGATATGTAAAAAAGAAATAAGTGATGCTTGGCTCCCTATTATAACAAGCAATAGTAGTCTACATATTGCAATAAAAAGTGCTGTTGTGTATAATGTTATTTTCTTTTTCAAGCTCACGTTTTATTGTAAAAAGGCTCAATGAATAATAAAAATCAGCACCTACACAATATCCTTTAAATCCTCATTGCTTGGATATTTGTTTTTTGAGGGTTTTGTCTCTTAAAATCACTGATAAAATTAAGAGCCTTTCAACTCAATTATATGCTTTTCAAGATGGTAATATACTTCGTGCAGTTTTTAAAATAAATATAAATATGATTGTTAAAAATATAAGAACTAACGAAGCCATAAAATATTTTCTGAAAATTGTTAAAGTAAGTAGTTTCTTTTTACATGTTTTAATTTAAAAGGAAATCGGTTCAAATCAATAGCGCTTCATCTGATCTTTGAATAAATCTAATATCAGTTTAATTTTTTATTCATTATGTAATGTAGATTTCTATTTATAGTTCAAGTAAGCAGTTTCCCTCTTCAAATTTGCAGTCCTTGTAACAAGGAATAAATAAAAAAGAAACATAAAACGCTATCCTTGTCCCATGACTGTGCCTACAGTCTTGAGACAAGGACATAAATATATGTTTCGTACTTTTATTATATTTCTAAATATATGCTTGTGTCCCCTCAATAAAACAAAATCTGATAAGTAAACCCTTTTTGCATGCCAATGAATTTTCGGTAGTTAATAGTGGCCCCAAATGAGAATGTTTTGCTTTGACACCCCCTTCCCATTTTAAATCGCTACCTAAGGACATGCGTATTATGTATTTCTCCTAGCAGTATAAAGATGTACCAGTACTTTTCTGTACAATAAAATATTATGCTTTTTTGCAACCGCCATTCAAGTGTTCAGATAGGTAACGTTGTAAAAATCAATCTATTTTCTCGCAATCAACTGGTTGATAAATACACTTGTATATCCATGTTAATCGTTTTCTGTAAATGCACTTGTATGCTGGTATTTCAGAAAATATAAATAGAACAAGATAAAAGTTATAATAACATTTAGAATTTCCATATAACCAGTATATTATATCATTTATTAAGATTGAATCTTAAAATTTTGGAATAAATACTGGGCTTCAGCGTGCGCGTTCGTGTATTCTTGTGTGCTCTTTTTTCTTCAAGGGAATTTAAAACATCGAAAGCTGTTATTATTAAGAAACAGATTCAAATCAATTTGACGATTAATATCTTTTAACATAATTTGACTTTCAAACATCCTTCGTCGTTATAGCCGTAATCTTCAATTAAGCGGTGTGTTGTTTTAGAAATTATTTACCATTGCTTCAATTTCATAACGTAAAAATGGTCCAAATCAATAGCTCAGGTGAGTTAAATTATATTTTTTGTACTATTTATAGTTCTGAATTTTTTTTAAATCCATAAACTTCACATTTCTGGAAGGAAATGTACAACCATTTAGATTATGTGTTTTTTCAATTCTTTCAGTTTTCCCTACAGAAAGCTTCGGTTTTTTTTCACGGGAACAGATCACGTGCTTCGAGGTTGCTCTGGTCATTTGATTTCCTCTTCTTCATTTCCATTTTGTGCCACCCTAAAGGAAAAGCTGAAGCTCTCCTTGAATTCGACATTAACATATTAGAAACTAAATCAAATAGGAACTTACATGACATAAAAGTGTCTACTGAACAGAATGACTACACTTCTGGTGAAAAGGAATTGGAAACACCTTTATGCAAATCAATAATCAATAACATTCTAAAATGTGTTGTAGTGATTGCAACGGCAATTCTAATCTTTATATATATATATGTTCAATCTCTTCCAAGATTTGTTCATGGTACACTATTTTTTGGACCGTGAGGAGAGATTAACCGCTCTTATATATCTGGCTCTAACCATAATTCCGATAATTCTGTCATGTTTCCTGATGCTGTACCCTCTTTTTTACCATGTGGATCCCTCAAATAAACGCCGGCGATTAATACTTGTATTGCTTGCCTGTTTTCCATTTCTAAAAAGCTATATGTGAGTGTTTTGCTTTTCACCTTTATTTTTATCTAATAATCCTGCCTTCCAGCAAAAAAAAAAAAAATGATTTTTGAAAGAGGTATTGAAATTTGCATTCGAATAGTAATGTTTGGTACATTTGCATATGTTGTTGGGTGGAAGCCGGCTTTATATGTTTTCATAGGCCATTTTATCATTTTTATAATCTTACATGTAACCATACTTTGTTTTCGAAAACTTAAACAAAATCACATTTTCTATGAAAACTGTACAAAGAAACCTTGTTTTATATCAAGTCTATTAGTTGGCGTTTTCGCAAATATATTTTTCTGTCATTCGTGGACATTCTGTCATATTTTGTCGAGAAAAGTGGTGTATATACTTTACTTTGTTTTGTTTTACGCCACTTCCATTTCTCTTATTAATGTCTTCCGTTTCCAACGGAAGACCTTCTACTGATTCTGATGTATTATTACTTTGAGGCCTCATATTTCACTCATTTCTCAACGGATTTTGCTCAAATTTTCAGAGTTTATAGACGTTACTAAACTCTATCAAAATTTTGTTTAGCATTTAAAAAATTCACTTCCGGTTTTGAGTTATTTCCCTTTAAACGAAAATTTATAGGCTTTCATTTCCATACAAAGGCTCAGAGATGGCAAAAGCTTGAGCAGAAATTTTACTGATTTTACACAATAGAAGGATTGAAGTTGTGCACAGCGGTTTTTGTTTTTCTATTTCTCTATTCAAGATGGCGCTATATTGGGGTCAAAAATTAGAACGCTTAAAAGAGCAAAAATTTACACATATTTTGCTTTTTATCTTCTAAACTAAAAATATTTTTTTAAAACATATAGAACAAAATTTGTGCAGAATTGCAAGATCTTTTGAATGATATCTCAAAAAAGGGCTGACCCCTAAATTAAGGGATCTAGAGGGGCCAAATTTTTTTTCCAGATATCTCAAAAAGTATTGAGAATTTGTAACACGTCCAAGAAGCAAAGTTGTGCAAAATGTCAAGCTTAATCTGTTGAAGACGTCAAAATCCGTCCGGCGACGTCACTTCCGGTCAAACCGGAAGTCGTCAAAAAATGCATATTTTTGCCTTTCTTGACAAGTTTTTGGGTAACATATGTCACTGAAAGCACAAAACTTAATTTTCCGTCCGTCGACATCACTTCCGGTCAAACCGGAAGTAGCCCAAAATTGCTTATTTTTTAGGTTTTGATGCAAAATTGAAATTTTAAAGTGACTGAAGAGGACTTAGATCATTGCTTTCTTTTCTTGACGTCACTTCTGGTCAAAACAGGACGGAAGACCTACTCGTTGCTTTGCTCTAGTTGTATTATCCAATGTAATTTCTGGTGTCATGGATAATTTTTCAATAGGGTTATATGTAGCCATTGCAAACAAACAAATAAATAAAAATAACTTTCAACACCATAATTCGGAGAATATATAAGAGTTTCACAATTATAATAAACTCACTGCTTCCCAAACATTGAAACGTACACAGCCAATTGTGCCTAACGTTAATTTAACATGAAAATAACGTTAACTTAACGTTAAATATTTAACGTTAAATTAACGTCAATCGAGCTTATACATGAATTTAACGTTAAAAATTTAATGTTAAGGTAACGTTATTTTTATGTTAAATTAACGTTAAGCGTTAAATTAACGTTAATTAGTTCACACTTATTTAATGTTAAAATGCAGAAAAATTGTGTGCATATTTTTGGAATTTTCCTTCCTAAAAAAATACATGTTATTGCTTCATAGCAGAAGCTTAACTGATACTACATGTAATCATAATTATTTCTCTAAAGGTACACCAGAAGCTCATCAATTTTGCACTTTTCCTTGTAGCACTGCAGAAAGCTAGGCTTGCATGTTGACTTCATCCCTGGTGTCACTTTCTTTTCAATTTGAATATATCCAAAAGGATGAAGGGACCCATCAGCTTTTTCAACAAAATCTCTAAAATTCTGAGCATTGCCTCCGATTTCCAATTTTCTGAAGAAAAGAGAAAAACACCAATTCATCCATTAATACTTTTAATCAGGCATATTCAATACAATGCTACAAATCTTCTTTCTTTTTCCAATCTGAAAAAGAAGAGAGGCAAATACATATATTATAATAATTATAAAATACATATATTATAATAATTATATGAAAATGAAATACTTCAGCAATACATTAACAACTCAAATTTGTCTCAAATATAATGAATGAAACAAGAGGTCCATTGGCCACATCCCTCACCTGAGCACATGGGCTAGCTAAAAAACACAGATCAGTCAAGTATTGAGAAGCTTACTTTATACTTATTGGGGGAGGGGGATTTGAATTTTCTATTACTTGAAAATGTCACTATTACAATACAGCATACATACATGTATATTATTTTGCCATACTTGAAAAGAAGATTTTTAAAGATTTTTCCAACACATTACCTGATCTCCCATTGTGACCCCTCGCTAACCCCCAATCCCCGGGCATTATTTAAATTTTTACTACTTGCAGATCATGTTAATTCGGAGAAGATTCTTTTTCCTATGTATTCTTATGCAAGTCTGTGATCCCTAATTGTGGCCACACCCTAACCCCGGGGGTCATGATTTGAACAAATTGAATCTACATTTAGTACCTATGGATGCTTCCACATCATGTCATGAGATTAATCATTCCTGTCCTAATGGTTCTGAAGAAGATTTTTAAAAGGTTTTTCCTATGCATTCCTATGTAAAATTTTGGTCGGCCATTGTGGCCCAATCCTACCCCCGGGGATCATGATTTGATCAAACTTGAATCTACACTACCTGAGGATGATTCCAAATAAGTTCGGAGAAGATTTTAGAAAAGAGTTTCCTATGCATTCCTATGTAAAACTTGGGATCAAATTTCAGACCTGTTTACCCAAATCGTCGTCTCTCAGTATTTTTGATTAGATTTCTCCGTGAGATTTGGATTTTGCCAGTAAGATTTAACTTTCCATCGATTTTACATATATTAATGCTTTTCTTATACTCAAAATGGTCTTTGTCATTTTGTTATACCAAAGAGTTTGCAAACCCAACATCACTTGAGTGTTTGAAATCTTTCTCTTTTTTAGTGATTCAAAAGCATGAAACGAAGACAGATCATAAAGAAAACTAACTGCTAAATTCCAAATGAAGTTTTTCCGATTTCTGTATTCTCATAAAAGCAAAACGTGAGACGTATTTTAAACTAAAAATCTGTACAAAATACGGCGAAATCGTAAGAGTAAACAGGTCTGAAATTTGAATCTACACTACAGGGGTCAAGAGGTCATAGATGTGCGTATCGATAAATGTTCAACGGAATTTCTCAGTGACGACATAAAGGGTCGACACGCATTCAGTGTCTTGTATACTGTTTACATGCCATTAGTTTTGAAAAATAATGCATTTCGCATGTTAAAAGCCACAAACAGCGTGATCAGGCAAATATAAAGTATGAATAAGTCATAAATGTAAATATAAGTAATAAGATATCATTTTAAAACATCCAACGGGCTATAAATACGGGTTGGTACGATATTAAATTCATTATAAAGCCCTTCAGGCTTTATGGAATTGAATCTTGTGAGTCATGACTAACCGATATTTGTTTAAAAATACCTTATTTCTTAAGTAAGACTGAAAGTCCATTGGGGCCCCCCTACCCCCCCCCCCCCCCCCGGGTTAAAGAGGCCTGAAAGTACACTATCTGAGGATGCTTCCATTTAAGTTCCATCTTTCCTGGCCCAGTGGTTCTTGAGAAGAAGTTGAAAATGTGAAAAGTTAACAGATGGACAGACAGACGCCGAACAAAATGTACATGTGATCTGAAAAGTTCACTTGAGCTTTCGGCTCAGGTGAACTAAAAAGCTACTAGTATTTAAAAACTATATACTTTCATATATATTACTATACAGTGAGACTGGCAAACAGACATTGTGTTTCCAATATACTTTCAAAAAAAAATTAGGGGTGACATATGAAATGGTTTTTACCGGCCGCCAGGAGGCGGTCGGTTACCCAGATAGCATGAGGACATTGGCCCAACGTTGGCCCAACAATGTCGGTTATGTTGGGCCAATGTTGGCAGTTTTACGTTGGCCCAATGTCTTACTGCTCATTGGCGCGCCGTTGGCCCAACATGTTGGGCCAATGTTGGTACAATACTGTTTGTTCATTTGTCAACATTGGTACAACGTTATTCCAACATACCAACGCCAACGCAATATTTTTTTAACGTTGGCCCAACGTTGGACCTCAGTTCAAAATATAATCATGACGTTGGTCCGACGTTGGTCCAACGTTGGTACAACGCTTTTGTTGAAATGCCAACGTTGGTCCAACGTTATTCCAATGTACCGATGCCAACCAAATATTTTGTAACGTCGGCCCTACATTGGACCTCAGTTCAAAATATAGTTATTACGTTGGTTCAACGTTGATACAAAGCTGTTTCTTGAAATATCAATGACACAATTATTCCTCAATACAAATGTCTTACAAAATTATTTAAATTCTGTAATTTTTATTTCCCAAATTATACGACACAATTAATTTCACCATGTTTGGTCAAATACTTTTTTCCTCCTAAAATGTATCACAATATATTCTTTGCCACTTTCACTTTCATTAAAGTATTCCATGGAATGTAACTAAAAGAAGGAAGAGGTAGAAAGTTCAATGTTTCTCAAGTACACTCCACATCACTATGTCCACTACTAAATATCACTTTGATATAAGAATCTTCAAGTTCTAACTGTAGAGTTTTGAAAGGTCATATTTGCATCACTTATCACTTTTTCTGTTGTTTATCTGTTCTTAGAATCCATGTTTCCCACACATATAAATCAGTCCCTTCCATATACAGAAATGCCACATCAATAGTCTCAGAGTGAAGAGGGTTTTTCCATCCCAGCAATTCCTGCAAACGTTAAGATTGTCATCAATTAAAATAGTATTTTCAAATGTTCATCAGCATCACACATATTTTTAAAGCAACCCTTAAAATTGAATTTCACATTAGTAATTATTAATAACAAATACAAAATAGTTACTTACATTTCACTGGTTAACATTCTTGCGTTCACTTACAGATCCGGACATATCTGCTCTGTTCAAGCCCGCCAATTCCTATAAAAGTTAAGGTCGTCATCAATTACAATTGTTTAGTCAGCTACCTGGTACCAATAATTTGAAAGCCTACATGCAGGCCATTACAATGTTGTGTATTTCACATTATTAATTATTTCAATAACAAAAACAAAAGCTATACTTACATTGAAAGGATTAAAATTCTTGCTTTCACTTAAACAGACACATACGCTTTGAATTGTTAAAGTGCGCGGTTAAAAAAAACTGATTTAAAGATGACGGTTTCCTTGGAGACCTATGAGTCACCTGCCGAGCCAGTGAATTTCACCAGTGACCTATTTATTTTGGAGCCCAAAACTTGCAAAACACAGCACTTTAAATTTGATTCAATGATGCTTAATATAGAATCTACCAAGATATAAAATTACTATATGTATTTCACAGACTTATAAGGATTGTCTCATAATTTCCATTCAATATATAATATAGATCACATGTTTATAATTAGTTGCTTATTACATTACCATCGATTTACAATAGATAAATCTAAATTGATGAATACTTTTCGCAACATTGGGCCAACGTTGGACCAGCATTTCATCTCAAACATTACAGGCTACTTGTACTTGCACTAGTAATCCCAGTATTCCTAGTATTGGACCAACTCCAGTTCAGTCAAGCACGCCCAACACAGAGCAATGCATCATTATATTGTCAACATTTATTAAGCTGGGCCAACGTTGGGCCAATATTGAATAACCAGCAATAATCGGCAATGTTTTGCCACTAACGTGCACTCAGTTAGACCTACGTTGGGCCAACATTTCATATTTAACACACAATGGTCTTAATCCATGTCAACATTTACTCGGTTGGACCTATGTTGGGCCAACATCTTAATGTCCAACACCAAATCGCTATGTTTCTTGTCAACATGTAACTACAATGGGCCAATATTGGGCCAACATCACATGCCCAACACCGTTGGTTTAGCTTTCATGCCAACGTAAATGAACGTTGGACCAACGTTGAGCCAATATCACATGCCCAACACCGTTGGTTTAGCTTTCATGCCAACGTAAATGAACGTTGGACCAACGTTGGGCCAATATCACATGTCCAACACCGTTGGTTTAGCTTTCATGCCAACGTAAATGAACGTTGGACCAACGTTGGGCCTACATCTGTTCCCCAACGCCAACACTTCACCAACCATACAACCAAAAACCAACGTTGGCCCAACGGAGTCATGCTATCTGGGTATATGATATGAAAGTTTTCAGTCGCCGTGCGTTTCTGCGGAGTTAGAACAATTTGAATAAAAAATTTAACATTCATGTAATAGAATATTAGGAAAGAGTTTCTGAATGTAAATTAAAAACGCATGATAATCATCAAACTAAAATTTTATGAATAATGGGTTAAATGTTTCATCCAATCCTGATTGACAAATTCCTACGTAACTGAAGTGCGGAGAAATAAGCACACATGTTGGGCATAGTCTAAAGCAAGGACCGCGTTATATGATTGCCTAAACAAATTTTACTTTCTCTACTTCAACAGGATTTGTTGTATATATAATTTAAAATGACGTGTAAATATAAATACACAATGTACTTTTAATACGGAAAATTTTCAAAATCATAACTTAATCTTAATTTATTATCAGGCAGAATATTAGGAGATTTTTCTCCAACAGACAAGGATAAAGCGCGTTTTACAACATGCCAAGCCTTTTCCCGCCACATCTCACACCAAAACAAGACAGAGAAGAAATGTAGTGGCGGATTTAGAGGGAGCTGGGGGTTTCAACATCCTCTGAGCGAGCGAGGAGCCCCATATAGTTGTTACGTTTTATTTAATGTTAAACTATCTCTAGTTAGATAAGTTTAAACGTTAGTTTTAATGGTTAAGTGTTAAAACTACTTAAACATCAAACTTCCGCCAGAGTTCGTTAATAGTACCAACTTACTGGGTGCGGGGACGCAGAGGGCTAAGAGTAAGTTGCTTAAATACATTGTACATGTAGCAATGTACATGTATTATGTACTGAAGAAAATCCTGGGATGTCGGATTCAAATGTTTAATGTCACAGGGATATATATATTAATTAACAGATAAATATAAGAATTCAGTTTCTAATTTATTATATGAAAGAATTAATTGGTTTGCGGCCGATTTTTGACGCTTGCGTCAATATGTTTCTTGTAAATATTTGATATGTGTTCAGAATAAATGCACTTTACATGGTATTTTGAAGATTGCTTAAGGTGATGAAATATATCCACTTTCTTGTGATTATCATGTTCATGTCAGCAAGACTTTATACTGAGTTAACCTACAATTATAAATAAAAAAAAATAATTAAAAATCATTTATTTGAAATGTAATATCTTCAACATATATGATATTCATAGACAGAAATCAAATTTTATGTGCAGCGTCTGATTCAAAGCAAACTTTTAGTACAGTGAAAGCAACTTGGCTTTAAATTTGTCTCTTTAGCATAAACTCTAGATCAAGTTGTAAAATTTTTCTAAATGAAAATTATGAATAAACTATGTATATACTATTTTATAAATAACCTTTATTCCTGCATGGTTATGATCTGAAAAACATCAATTCAAGGAGGCACCAAGGAATGGTATATTGAGGCTGTAGTCTGCTCTTTTCTCCATGTCTTACATACAAGTATCTTTTCTGTATTATGCAGTAAAAGAAAAAAATCTTTATTTAATAATGCTTATAAAATGTTTCTGAACAAAATATTGACAAGTGTCAAATAATGACAAGTACTTAACTGGTATCTTAAAAAATCAGTTGGGGTGTGTGAATGTAAATTTCACTGTCATTACATTTACTGTAGGAATTGTTTACATTTTGTTCCACTTTCAATACCTGTTTTGTGTTTCACTGGCATAATAATTTAGGCAGCTGGGTTCTTCCGAGTCTCGACGACAAAGTCCGATTTGATCCATTTCAGAAGTGCGAGTCAGATGTGATACCGAGTTCCAGCTGTTTAAAATACAATAAAAATAAATATCAAATCGGGTTTTTTTTCTCGATAATGATGAAACCAATTAAGATGAAATGTTAGAATCAGGGAAAACATCGCTCACATTGCGTGTTTAACTTCAACTTCGAGATGGTTATTGTTAACTTGTACACGATTTCTACTTTTACTTTCGAATTTTTTCCGTATCGTACGTAGGGCGGCAGTACAGATGTACCGGCAGGCTTCAGTGTTCAAACAAATTTAACCAACTGAACAATAAATAGATCTAATAAAAATAGTATTGCTGATATACAAATATACAACATAGCAGAGATCTGGCACGTCGTTCACAGCCTACGACACAGTAATTTCAGCGAGATGTCGTAGGGACTAAAATATTTGGTCGGACGTCCACGTCGTAGTGGACGTCCGACCAAATATTTTAGTCCCTACATCTCGCTGAGATTAACGACACAGTAGCCTGCAATGACTGTTGAGTAATGTTGCTATACAAACATTTAGGGACCTCTGAAATCATGAAACTCTCAAAAACGTAATATTACAAAGACTACGAAATACTTACTTTTAACAGAGACTTGATAAATTCTTTTTCCTCTGTGTTACAGCTGGTGACGTCAAACATGACGTATAGTTTCGTCCGATAAAAACAAAACCGATCCTGAGAAAAGCTACGGACCATTTTTAGCCGGAAAAAAATCCAAATCCAAGTTGACATTTTGAAAGATAGAAATAGAGCTTATAATTTAAGTCTAGATAAATTACTTTTTTAAGAATGTATGAAAAAAAAATGGACGGGGTGAAGAGGGTGCTAACAGTTAGAGCACCTCCCTTTCCCAAACCCACACGTGTACACACCCTTACACACACACACACAGGCACTTGTGTCGGAAATAAATTGTGTCGGAAATAATTTTTGAACCTATGGTAGAATACTAACACAACTGTTATCTTTATATATTGGGGTTAAAAATTTATTTCCGACACAAGTGCCAATACCCCCCCCCCCTCCCACCCGCCAACCGCCAACCCCCAACTCCGGCGGTTTCGAGTATCCACATATGAACATCTTAACTAATTAATTAAATGTCACTAAAATGATTGGCAAGTATTGCTTAAAGTTAGGTCTAAAATTTGAATAATAACATTAATACCATGTTATTCTAATTAACATGAAATTAACATTAAAGAATTAACGTTAAATTCACATTAACATGAAATTAACATTAACTAATTAACGTTAATCTAATGTTAATATTTTGGTTCTAGTTTTTTAAGACAGAACCCAAGCTCACTTAAATTTTAATGTTAATTTAACGTTAAAAATTAACATGAAATTAATGTTAAGTTAAATTAACGTTAAAAATTAACATGAAATTAATGTTAAGTTAAATTAACGTTAAAAATTAACGTTGATTTAATGTTAACATTTTTAATGTTAACTTAACACGAAAGTAACATTAAACTAACATCAAGCTAACGTTAATTTAATGTTAATTGAGATTAACACTAAATTAACGTTAGGCACAATTGGCTGTGTACTGTTCGGATTATATATTGCTATACTGAAAACTCCAATAAGGACAAACAATATCATTATTATCTTCATTGCATTAAAAATATATAATGTTCAAAAATGATTCTCTTCAAAGGAAAAAGAAAATAAACTAAGTATAAATAGAGGCAAAGGAAGATACAATAGAAGCAGAAAACTGTTTGCCCTGCTTGATTTGAAATATTACAGCAGCAAAATTTCAGAAAAAAACATTAAAATAGATATTTTCTCCGAAAAACATAGAAGTGATTTCTCTGCATATAAGCTACTTCGAGTAGACGTATTTTTAATTCCTCCAAACAAAACAGAATTTACCCAACCACACAACTCCAACGTCAATCTATTCAACATAAAAAGAGTCAAAATATTGATTTCCAGAACACAGTCAATCTTAAGAGATTGAAAGCTACACAATGAAGAATTATGTTCCCATTTTACAAAACATTCCGTTCTAATATAAGCATTCCTTACTATAGCATAATAAAACCACAATTTGAAGAAATAAAAAGAAAGCCAAAGTCATTAGAAAACATGTTTCCTTTTTTGATAAAGCTCCTTGTTTTTGGACAACCTAATAATTGTTCTCCCCATTCAATCTTACTTTCGTCCATAGATAGGGAGAAAGTTCTGAAAGTGTCTAAAGGTAGATACCCCTCATTACATCGTATGCGTGGATCAGCACCATGCTGTACCAGAAATTCCACAGCATCAAGGCATTTCGGTACATTAGACATCCGTCCTATAATGGAATATAATGGAGGTTTTTCATAATTATCGGTGGAATTAAGACCCTTCCTAGCTAACAAATTAGTTGCTGCATAAATAAAGCTGAATGATGCAAAGAACGGTAGGGATTTCTTCAAGTTCTTAAACGTAGGAAAATGTATAAATTTTCCATCATGAGATTGTTCAATGTTAGAGCTCAAAAGAATTTCAATCATACTTTTATTATTGGCAAAATGAAGCGGAGTCCTGTCCTTCATATCTTTTGGAAATGAATTAGCACCAACACTTATCAATATTTTTGCAGCAATGACATCATCACATAATGCGGCTATATGAAGCATAGATAGACGTAAAGGATTTCCATTAAAATTTGCCAACGTTTGCGTTCTTGACACATGAAGTTGGGTGCGATAGAAATGTCGCCCTATTCCGTTGAATACGGTATTTTGAGGATAATGTCCGAATTGTTTTTATGGATTTCATTACAGATTTTAACAAAATCTATCCATAGAAAACTCTCAGACGAAACTTTATTAATGTCACTAAAACACAATTCAATTTGGTTCTTTATTACACATTTTGTACATATTCCGGATAAAGGCAAGGTATGAATGAGCTTATTTTTCACTGTGCCTGAAAATAAAAGCATTTCAACAATTTTTTTACTCTTGTTCAATAAAGCAACTTGCAAAACTAATGCTCTGTTAAAATGCACACGTGAATAAAAGACATCATCATAAATATCTGCACCGTAGCGCATCGAAACACACACAGCTTGTTCATTATTTCTTAACACAGCAATGGTAAGGAGTGTTCTAAGCTGAAAATCAACACAATTGGCGTCACATCCCTTGCTTCAAAGCAATTCTAACATTTCAACTTCATCAAACGAGGTAGAAACAAAGCGCAGGGAGTCCAACCTAGAAGCTCATCTGCCTGCTCCAAATCAGCACCTCTTTCGATCAAACAGTTAGCAATATCACAGTTATTTGTTTTTGCAATTTTACACAGCAAGGTTATGTCATAGCGGTCGCATGATTTAATCTTCCCATCTTTCGAGAGGAGTAATTTAATAATATCTAATTTTTCTCCTAGAACTGCCAAATGTAAAAGATCAGTAACCATTGAGAAATGTACAAACAATTATCTGAAGATATTGTTTTGACTTTGGCAAATGTGATGAAATAGAAAAAAAGCATCCGGTGACAACTAACCATTCAATAAATGTACTTTTATTTCTTTGTAAGACTTCTAGCATGACAAGTCTGTTTGTATTTGTAATATTTGTGGAATCCTTTCCAACCTGTTGCATTAGTTGTGGTAAATTGTCTGAGCAAGGCAATTGTTTCAATTTGATTAGAGAAAGTTTGCTTTCTAGAAGGAAGGTCACAAAATAATTCACGAATTCTCTGTTTTGAAGGGGATGACTCAGAAGAACATCTCGAAATTTTCCGTCCATAATCTCTGCCAAAGTTCTCTTCGAAAATGAACTATACAATGAACGCTCTATTATTAAAACATTGTCATCGTCCTCACGACGTTTATGCATTCTAACCCTTGCCATTTGCCATTATAAAACTTGCGATGGAAACCCATAGGTTAAGTCCCTAAGAAGCAGGGTGGTGGGCGGATGATAACTAATCTTTCATATACCCCCCCCCCCTTTAAGGAAGCAGTGTAAATGATTTTTATAGATCCTGATAAATGTTTAGAAAATTTTTCAACGTTTGGTGATGCAACTGCATTGATGCTAGGTGCATTACTAGCAAAATGGATATTTCAAGTGCATGTCGCTTTTTACCTGTTTTCCCACAGTATTTTTGTTTGTTGGGTGTCAAACACTTTGTGGCATATTATATTGACAAGGGTTTGGCGATAGAGTGTTTTAATCATGTACATTATTTTATAAATTTTCTACATTGTTGCATTTTCAATTGATCCGTAGGTCTAATATACATTCTGTTCTTCATAATTTAGATAATTGTGCTAGTTCATTTGAATGTATGAAGTGTATGAGGCTATTCAAAGGTTTGTGGTGAGATTAAAGTGTCCCTTTAGCTTTGAAAAAACTAAAGGGCCTACTCATTGTTTGACAAATTTTAAGTTTGGGAATTGATACTCTTTCCATGACTTTCTTTGCACCGTAGCAAAAAGTTTAAGAGCTTACAGAAAAATATTATGTAGTTTTGGAATCAAAAAGTTACCTTAAATAAATGCAATCATTAGCAGGAGCACTTGCTTTTGTAGTCAAAGGACTGTTAGATGGTAGGATTTATGGTTCCTTTGCAGGGGTTAAGAAATTGTATCATTTTATATGGATAACGTCAGAGATAAGGTCTGATTTGTTAATGTGAGTTTAGCTAGTTTCTCAGTCAGTGTCATGATATCGCTCCGATCCCATGTCTTATTTGGTAGGCATTGGTGCTGTCTCCATTGGCCTACTTGTTGGAATGAAGAAATATACTGGGATATTTCTTCATTAGAACTTATTCCCATAGTGTTAGAAATTATAATATGGGCCGAAATTTCGCTGGATATAAAGCTCGTTCTTCATATAAATAATTCAGTTTTAGTCTACATTATTTATAAATAATCTTCCAAAAAAAGAGAAGTGTTACTTTAGCAGAGCTGCCAACATTCTGAAATGACAAATAGTAAGGCGGGGTCCGGGAATCGCCTAGGCCCCAAGCCGTTGAAGATATTTTTGTAAATGGATATGTAAACGGAGCAATTTGAGGCATGTTTCTATTTTGTTTACTTTGAAACATTGACGTGAATACGATCGGCCTTCTAAAAGCGAGACAACAACAGAAGCAAGCGATGTAAGGATTATGAATATTTAATTATAATAGTAGAAATTGTAGACGGCCAGCTATGGAAATTCCGTTATTATAAACTTTGATCGAGAAAAACCAAAATCGG